ATTTGTCTATTTGTACAAGGGATTTTTAAAACTGGTACCGATGCTTCTGTTCTTTTGTTTGTTTGTTTTAAAAGACAGAATGATCCTAATTTTTCGTTTCCCAGAAAGTCTGTATCTTAAATTAAGGCCGAATAGAATGTACATATAACCCCCCAAAAAAGGAAAGAAAAAATGGAAAAGATTCAGATCAGAAGAAAGACAAGAGTTGGTGTCTGAAAGATGTAACTAGTGTGCATCCATATTTGGTAAACTTCCTTGAAGAAAGCAGAAAACTTTCAAGCTTTTCAAGTTTGGTCATCAGAATTGGGAAAAGAAGCTTACTTGGAAGTAAGCCTCACTGAAATCTATTCATCATCAAGTTAGCGTTGATTTATTTTATTTTTTTCTGTTTTTAGTTGGCGATCTGTAGCTGTAGTTCTGAACGCTCTTTAATGTCCTTCTGGCAATTTATGGAGACTGGTGTGCTTTGGAAAGGTGTATATTCCCCATTATAAAGACAAAGTGAATTGTCGACACTGCACTTGTGGTTGAAGATAATCAATCTGGACATACTTAGAAGAAAGTCCTGCTGAAAGCAGACTTGAAGTATTCTTATTATTGAAATTTTGGCTATTGAAAAAAGGGAACAACAACAACGTGCTTTAAGAGTCTTTTTCAGCCGTGTTTTTTGGCTTGGGGGAGGGATGTTGTTTGTCTGGAAGTTGGGAAGGAGGGAAAACCCGAAAATAATAGTGATAAATAGTGAGCCCTTTTCTAATCAAGTTTCCTTCCAAATATGTTTTGCTTTGCTTTGCTTGAAATTAATATATCTATTCCTGAAGTGAACAGTTTTCCTTCCCAACATGCAACACATACCACGCAGCTTAGGGGACAGCAAATTCTGATTTGTCGCAGTGGAAATTATTTCTAAACAGGCTTGTGTAGGACTGAATTGTCTGCTTGTGCTCTGCTGCAAAGAAGGCTCTACCCTGAGAAGGCCGGCTCACAGATAGGGCCATAACGCATCTATGTAACCTGATACAATTTTTCCAGTGGAGCACACCTCGGGGTCCAGTAGTTCAGCCCTAACTTCTGAAGGGAAAAAAAATTGTTCTTCTGATAAATAAACCTAGGTAACTGAAAAGTTTCTCTCTTTCTGCACTAACGGTGAACTCCTATGACCTACTTGGGAGGAGAGCACACTGAATTCAGCAAGGGTTAGGCATGAGTAGTATGACATCCTAAAACAATATTGGGGTTAAGCCCTACCTCTTTTGAACATCTGCCTACAGCTTTCCTCCCCTCTTTCCTACCTACAGAAGATGAATGGCTTACACAGGATACATATTTTATTGTTTTATATCCCCATTTTGGTGGGAGGCTGGGGATTACATTCCTTTGATCTTTTCCCTTCTCCGTTTTTCTGGGGTTTGAAGGAAGTGCTCAAGGAAAGGCACCACACCCTACTTCCCCATCTACCTCTGCACTGGTTTCCAGATTTCCCTGCCTTTTCTTCTCTACTTCCCATTTTATGCAAGTTAATTATCCAGAGCTGCCTAAAAATCTTTGCAATGTCTGGAAGTTATTCGTTATTACAATGAAGTCGTGCAAAGGAGTAATTTTCGTTCTAATGAAACGATAAATCTTGTCGAACTAGGTTCGGAATGAATTTCCTCCTACTTAGCGTTCCTCTTTAATCCCCCAAACTATCTATTTACCTATTTACCTTCCTGCCTTCGTTTTTTTTTCCCCCCCCTAAATTTCAGATTATGTTTCTAAAGCTGCATGCCCTTTTGTGAAGGATGAGACAGTTATGGATCGTACTACAGCTTCTGGCTAATTCGCAGTATTTTGCGAAAACACACAATTCAAAATATAGTTTCTTCTGGAAACTGGACTATTGTTTTTCCCAATACCAAGCACTTTTTACTGAAAACTAACATTTTTCCCCCCTTTTTGGCAAAGGAGAAGGTCTCTCTGTCTTCTGTATGTACCCTGTAGATCCGAATTTGTGTAAAAGAAGCTGCCTCACAAATTCGCATCTAGGGGAATATGTAGTTGACACAAACCCTACGGAGCGAAGCGCAGCCTTAAAGGAAGAAGAAGGAGAAAAAGAAAGGAGATTAAATCGTTAAAGTCATTTTTTTTCTTAAGAAGATTTTTCCTTTTTGTGTGTGTGGCTGTTCGTGTACCCTTTTTGTGTGTGTGGCTGTTCGTGTACCCTTTTTGTGTGTGTGGCTGTTCGTGTACCGAGAAAAAGAAAGGAGATTAAATCGTTAAAGTCATTTTTTTTCTTAAGAAGATTTTTCCTTTTTGTGTGTGTGGCTGTTCGTGTACCTCCTTCTATGAGCTTTGATGGAATATATATTGTTTTCTAAAATACCTGTCACAAGCAGTTTTTTCACTCTTTTTACTATCACCTAAACATTTTCAGTTATTTTCTATTGCATTGAAATCTTATTGAGAGAAGGAAAGAGGGGGAAGGAGAAAGCACACACCTTTCGCAATAGGAGCAGATCGCTGCCCCGCGGAGTTTACAAAAGGAAGATGGCATGGTGCAGCGTGATGAAAGGGTCACACAGGACGTGTGCGTGTGTGTATGTGCGCACGCACACGCGCCTATGTGTATGTGCGTGCGTGCGTGCGTGTGGTATAGAACCTCTGTATCCGCTTTTAAAATATTTTTTAAAAATCTGATTTCTTCAATTAATCCCCACCACAATCCGATAAATTTAATCCCAATTCTTCCTTCTTCTGCTTCTTAATGTTTATACAATTTTTTATCCCTTAAACACGGGAAAGAGAACCAGTCTAAACCAGAAGCTAGCTGTCATTTAAAGGATGGGTAACTCGAATTGGTTAATGATGTTTCTATCGATCCCAAATAACCTCTATCTATCTTTGCCACCGGCTCGACTCACTCACCAAATTTAAGCAGGGGCGAGAAAATGAATACATCATAAACCCATACACCCGGTTCTTTCCTCTCCAGTTTCATATTTGTTGTCAACAAACTTTTGTTATTTGATTTTTGAAGACATTTTAAATATTCTCCACAAAAAGAGACATTGGGTGTGCTTAGTTTGGACGAAACATCAGCGGATAAATCGGACAGGGATAGGAGTTTGGGATTATGTATCTTTCTGATTTTGGAGAGATTATGGAATACCCGATTTGGGGGGATGTGAAATTATGACATTCATATTATTTTTAAAATATAAAAAAAAGAATGCAGTGGACTGATTGTCCGTACTACAGTGCAGAATCCCATTTAGATCCCGAATATATTTTACAGATAAAATAAATACAATTGACTTCAACGCAACTTGGTTGCAAGTGGAATGCGAGCTGGCAACGGAAAGGCTAAAAGAGCCCCCCCGTCCCCCTTCTTGGTTATTTCCTTATCCGGGAATCCCAGGCTAGCCCTTCATTGGTTCATGGGGTCACATGAACAGCTAACTTTGTTCAGTTGACGGCAAAAGTAGGAGGGCTCTGCGAAACAGGAAAACGAGTGAGAAGGGGAGGGGAAGGAAGGGAGAAGGGGGAAGGGGAGGGGGGCGAAAGAAATAGGAATAAATTTTAGTATATTTTTGGGGTGTGCGTGTGTGTGAGTGAGCGAGAGTGTGCGTGCCGGCGCGCGCGCGCTCTTGCAATTCCAAAATTAATGGCCATGAGTTCTTTCTTGATCAACTCCAACTATGTGGACCCCAAATTCCCACCATGCGAAGAATATTCCCAGCACGATTACCTTCCCAGTCATTCTCCGGAATATTTCAGCGGCCAGAGGCGACAGGAGAACTCTTTCCAACACGAGGCGTTGTACCCAGCGCGGTCCGCCTGTAACCAACCATCCTATCCTCCATGTCAGGGCTCCGGGCACCAGCCACCGGTCCTCTCCCCCAGGAGCCAGCATGCTCCAGCTGGACTTCAGAACCATCTTTCCGAACCAAACCATACTTGCGAATCCATCACGCCAAGCCCACCGCCTTCCTGTAGCCAAAACTCTCTCAACCAAAGCCCGTCCACTGGCAAAGAGCCGGTAGTTTATCCTTGGATGAAGAAGGTTCATGTTAGCACGGGTAAGTGAACCTTAAAGAGCTGTTCGCTTTATACTAACCTGCACCTCAAAGTCTCGTTGGGAAGAGAGGGAAAAAAAGCCTTATTGCCCCCGTTGTAAAAGAACCATTCCCCTTGGAGATTTATGGTCTCCCTGTTTGCAGAGCGCTATAATTACATCCTCCATAAATTTTTATTGCTCTTCTTGGCCAACTGCCTTTGAAGTCCCTGTTAACATCCTTCTCCAGAATCTCTTTCTTCCTTTCCTTTCCTTTCCTTTCCTTTCCTTTCCTTTCCTTTCCTTTCCTTTC